ACCGTCTTTCTATTTATAGAATTATTTTTCATGTATAATGAAAAATTGAAGTACCATTATATTTATTCCCATTATAATCGATAAAATTAGTGATTATTATTTTATTATCACTATTTCGTCAATATTTTACGATTTACTCTGTGAACATTATTACAACATTATTAGCAACTTATTTTGTTATTTGTATATTATTTATCAAACACATATAAACTGATTTTTTGTTTTGGAGTTTTGGTTTAGGTACCTATAATGAACAATATAGGTAAATCTATATAAAAAAACTATATCACAAAGTTCATGTTAAGTACTAATTAATTAATTATAAAAAACAAATAATACCTATTTAAAATTTGTTTTAAATATTTTTATAAAAGTATTTTAATAATGCTTTAATACATAACAAAAAAAGTATTATTTATTACACTGGAGTAATAATAGTTGGATACTTTATTTTTTTTTCTTGCTTAATTATCAAAACATTGTATAATTAGTATGGTCATTACACCAATAAATTTTCATAATACCTATGTATGATTATTTTCAAACAATTATTATATTTGGTTTATCTCTACGTCTACAGGAAACTCAAGTTTGTTCTCAATTGAACAGGAAAAACTTCACAATAGGTACATTTGTCAAGAGCATTTCCCCCCGAGAGCTTTACAAATATATTTAATAAAATCCGTTTAGTAAGCACTGCTCTTCCATATAAATATAAATCTGAGCAAAAACAACAACCATCTACATTATTAGGTTTTAACCAAAATGATGCATCTGAACAAGAATGTCTTACAATTTCAACTCCAGTAAATACTTATACACACACAAAATCAGACATGGTAGAGTTAGTTTTTTCTAGCTCCTCTTCATCGTTATCTATTCCTAATAAAACTAAAATTACAGATATAATCCAAATGCCAGACTCAAATTTAAAAAGGAAATGTGATTTGTTAGAAAAAGATACTCCTAGAAAATTAATTTTAAAACAAAAAAATAAAATTATTCATAATAAAATCACACATATTTCAAAATTAAAAAAAAAGAGGTAGATGTTTTAATCGCTATAATAATTTAAAAAATTCAATAAATTTACATAAATTTTCATCAATTAACTCCAAAGCAATTGTGACTATGCAATTAAAAGATAGACAACGTCCATAGACATTAAATAAAAAAAAATTGGCTTTAAATTTATATTATAAATCACCCAGTGCATATAAATTTTTACGTTCCCAAAAAGTAAATTTACCAGGACTTTCAACAATTCGTCATTGGATAGGTCAATCAAAATTCTTACCAGGTTTTAATCAAATATTTTTCAGTCATCTTAAAAAAAAAAATTGAATCAACTGATTATAAAGAAAAAGTATGCACTGTTTGTTTCGATTAGATGTATATAACAGAATTTATAGAATATTCCAAAGAATTTGATTTCATTGAAGGTTTTGAAGACTTAGGTCAATATGGCAGGACAAATAAAAGTGCTAACTGTGTTCTGGTGTTTATGGCTCGAGGTATTTATTCACCGTGGAAATTTCCAGTCGCCTATTTTCTTTCTCATTCTGGTTTTGACAAAATCAATTTAAAAAATTTAATAATTGACGTCCTTAAAAATTTATTTGAAGTAGGATTGTGTTCAAAAGTTGTTGTATGCAATCAAGGCACAAATAATCAAAGTACTTTAAAATCATTAAATATTTCAGAAGATAGCCCATATTTTTATGTTGATAATAATAAAATATTTTCTATATTTGACGTTCCACATTTAATTAAAAGTGTAAGAAATAATTTAATTGAAGCCCGTTTTATTAAAGGTGATAATATAATCTCCTTTGATGACATAAAAAAACTTATGAGTTAGACATAAAAAATCACAAAAGTAGGTCTCTCATTAAAATAACAGATGCTCATATTTATCCAAATTCTTTTCAAAAAATGCGTGTTAAATTAGCCACACAATTACTAAGCAATTCAATGTCAGCAACAATCCGAACTTGCATACAAACAGGACAACTTCTAAATAGCACTGCTTCAAACACAGCAGATTTTATTGAGTTTATTAATAATTTATTTGATTGTTTAAATAGCCGGTCTTTATATAGCCATAATCCATATCTCTGTGCATTAACTGATTCAGGTACTGTAAAACATTTTTTATTAGAAGTTTCGCAATACTTCACAGATTTACATAAATTAAAAAAAGGAAAATTAACACAATCACCCTGTTTTAAAGGTTTTAAGCAGACCATGGTGTATTGCAATTTTTTGAAGAAGAAAAATCTAATTATATAGTATTTTTAATGACCTACCGTTTGAATCAGGATGTATTAGAAAATCTTTTTAGTATTTTTCGACAAAAGGGTGGTTATAACAAGAATCCAACAGCCAGAACGATTAGGACTTCGATAAGAAGTAATTGTATTTTTTCTTTATGCACATCTACTAGAACAAATTGTGAGAAACTGTTGAAAAACTGAGTAATTTCGGTAAAATCTGTAAAATTCCGCCGTAAACGGATTTAATCATATTTAATTATCAATTTAATCATATCATTTAAAATAGTAAATCATTAGGTACGAGTGCTAGGAATTAAATATCAATAAAATGTATAAATAACTCTGACCACAATGGCGCAATACAATACTGAGTTATGAGCACCCGTGGCCCGCCCCGCCCAGTGCGGCAGCGCTTAACACTCATTCTGTATTTATCTATACAGATTGTAAAATAATTATTTTTTCTATTATACAACGCATTCTATCGGCAGCTAGAACAAACATAATTTTAGTAGCCTAATATCTCTATACCATGGACTATCTATCTATTCTATAATCAATGATAATAGTATAATCTAATAATATCAAGATGCACGCCGGTTCTATACGAATATTTTGTTGACGCTCTTTTATTTTATTTCTGGAGAAGTGATAATAATTAATTATAATTCAATTTGTGCGTACCGGTCATATTGCGTAGTGTAAAGTTCTTACCGCTGTAGCTGCGTCGCTTTTATTTGTCTACTTATTATATCGTTGTTGGTTTTTTTTTAAATATCATATTTATTTTGTGAATATGAGTACGAATAGAAATCGGTTAAGTGGTGACCAATATAAAAAAATTGCTAAATTAAAAAGTGAAAAGTTGCACCTCCCTCTTTTCCGACTGATAACTATTATTCATTTTGACAATCACTTTTCATAGTACCAAAACGACTACTAAAGTACTTAAACAGTTTTAAGCCCTAGTTGTGTCTGAAAAATGTTCAGTTACTAAACTGTTTAGTAGTTAGTAAATCACTTACCACTCGACTAAATTACTGGTATAGTCTGAACTAGCTGAATAATATATGACAGAATAGACGAAATAGACGACAGAATAATAATTCTAAAATTATTTAAAATTACCAACGATCAAATCAAAACAATTTGACACTGGATGCAAATTCTAAATAAGCATAAAGCACCATTAAAATATAACAAACGTTTAAAATAATTTTTAAGTTTTTTAAAACATTTCTGTAGCCCACTAGGCTCCCCCTATATACACCACTGCACATATCATTGTCTTGTTGTCCAACTGTATTTCGTTAAATCACTTTAATATTTTCAGGAGTTAAAATAATTTTTTTCAAAAATATATTTTTTTTTTTTTGCTTTTCATCATGAGGCATATCAATTATTTTACAACCCATTTCAACAACTCCGTAATCATCATCAAGCCCACAAAACAACTTTTATTTTTTCAGTGTAAACCTATAAATAATAAGATTTAGTAATAAAATATCAATTTTTTCGTAGTTATAAAACATTTTACGTAGGTTTTTTAAAATTTAATCATCGTTTTTTTGATAAGTCATACTTTTTTCAACTTTTTTAATAAATTTGTTTGTAATTATACCAGGACTAATGCTAGTTACGGCTACTATTGTGAGGAGTTTCATATGTTCGTCAAGTTAGCACCGGCACATTATGCTAGAGTTATGTAAATAGTATCAAAAATTTGCTAGGAATTAGCTAAATTTTGCTAGGGCATTTTTGGAATTTGCTAGGGCTCCTGTCGTCCAAGGGGGAGGTTCCAAATTTGGCATCAGCACCGGCACGTTGTCCGATTTTAAAAAAAAATATATTAAATCAATCAACTGAATTTGCTAGATTTTGCTAGGGCCCCTAAACTTTGATAATCCGCAAACAAATATGCCGGTGCTATCTTTGTGGGCGCACCGGCACTATGTTCGATTTCAAAAAAAAATATGTCAAATTATTCAACTGAATTTGCTAGATTTTGCTAGGGCATTTTTGGAATTTGCTAGGAGGTTTAAATCGGGGTACATATTTTTAAATATTTCTATTTGGCTAGGAGCTTTTAAAAATATCTTTTTGACTGTAGATATTAATTTACCTACTTTTATCAATTTTGATCGTATGGTTTCTGCTATTCCGTACTAAACACGTTAAATGGATTATTTTGGAGGAAAAGCATTTAATTTGTTGAAATATGTAGGAAAAATGGAATTATTAAGAAATATGTAAAATCATTTACTTATGGCAAAAAAGGTAAAACAAAGTTGATTTTTGATGGGTTTAAATATTATATTATCAAAATATATATATATATATATCAAAACAGGTGCGTACAAAGGAATTTTTTATGGGGGTGTCCAAAATTTTTATTTTATCTGTTTTCTAATTATAATTATAGTTTATCTCAATATTAACAAATTACTGTTAATATACTATAATATGGTTTATACATAATAGATATACTAAATGATCTATATACATGGGCGCCGTGAGGGGGGTGCAAGGGGGTGCATTTGCACCCCCTTGGCTTGACAAAAAAAAAAAAAAATTAAAAAATTAAATTAAAAAAATTGAATGGTATTAAAACTATTTTATTTTGCATAATTATCTACATTATTTCTATTATTTATTATTATACATTTATACTTATTTTACAATATTGTCCATATAATATATTATTTATATTATGTAATATAATAATTATTTTTTAAATAATAATTGTAAACGCCTAGGTTTTTTTCCAAATTCTTCAATTGAATTTTCAATGAATTTGGTATCCTCTCCTAGTCTTTTTCTATGTACACTCATCATACACAATCCGGACAATCGGTTATCACCCATAGTGGCTCTGTTCCATGTTTTGACTCGTCTTAAAGTACTGAATGAACGTTCAATGCTGCAAGTTGTTGTTGGAAGAGTTGCTCCGATCTTGATTGCGTTGGCTACAGCTGGATAAAAATCTTTTGACATTTCGATCAAATCTAAGTATTCAATAGAATCTAATGGTTTTTCACCATTATTCCACATTTCATACCATGTTGTGGCTTCGGTTACAAAATTTGATGACAAAATATTTCCATAGAGTTTTACAATATCATTTGATGTGCAAATAAACTGTACTTTACTCATGATTTTCATAGCATAAGGATGAAGATCCATTAGAGAAAATGATTGATTGTGAATTTTAGAAAAGCGATCTTTTAATGATGATATAACTGAATCTAGATAAGGAACGAAAATGGATATTCTGAAAAACTCTTCATGGTTTGTAGATAATGTAAGATTTGATCTTTGAGGTGGAACTCGAGGTGGACGTATTTCAACATCAAGTTCTTCAGCGATTTCTTTAGATTTTGCAAATAATACGGTAAATTCAGTGGACGCACAATTTCTATACAACTGCAAAGTATCAACTAGTTTGGTTATGTGATTGTTCACCGTTTTCAAATTTATATTAACTTGTTGAAGTAGATTGCATACTGGTTCAAATTTAGCGGAATAAACAGCTATTACTTGCAATGTAACAATAAAAACTGGTGTAGTAGCAGCAGTAAAGAGTTGATAAGATTTAATTTTGGTTTTTGAATTTGCTGTACTTTTTGATAGTTCTTCCAAAGCTTTGACAATAACAATAAAATTGTCAGCAAAAATGCTAATACTCTTATATTTTGCTGACCAACGAGTTTCACAGAGTAAAGGAATATTGGGAATAATTTGTCTACGCAATGTGCTCTCTCTAAAAAAATTTATTATTTCTTTTATGATCCCGGTTGTATTTCTTACTTCACTTACGTTATTTAAATCATTAAATACAAGATTCAATACGTGACTAGCACAATGGAAGAATAGCGCCATAGGATAAGCTTCATTAATTAATTTTTGAACGCCACTTATATGCCAGCCATTGTAGCGCTTCCATCATATTCTTGGCCCACAAGTCGATTCAAATCTAAATTACAACTTTCTAAAAATTCAATGATGGTTTTGGCAATGGATTTAGAATCTAGTTTTGTAAGAGGCGAGTAACCAAGAAATTCTTCACAAATTTTGTGTTTTTGAAACTTAACGTCGTAAAACAAATACCGAACACCTATTGACAATTGTTCGGTGCCACTTATATCGGCAGTCTCGTCAGCTAAGACCGAAAAAACAGATGAAAGTTTCACTTCTTCAATAATGTTTTGTCGAAGTACATTAGCACAAGTTTTAATTAGTTCATTTTGAACTTCATGTGAGATATATAACGCATTTTTAGCTCCAGACTTTAAATGCTTATTCAAAACTTCATCCCCCGATTCGACACGGAATTGTAATAAATCTGTATAAACTGAACCTTCGTCATTTTTACCTCTTAGTGGAAGATCGTGCTTTGCACAAAATAAGATTGACGATATGATAGAACGAAGTTTCACCCTGTTTTCTTCTATTTCTCTATTAAATGCCGAATCTATTTGCTCATGAACACTCAATTGTTTTCTCTCTTTTGAGTTTAAAAAATGTTGTGACGCATTAATTGCGTCTTTATGCCAAATACTAATTTCATGAGCTTTTGAAACCTCGTTAAATTTTTGATATTTTATGCATGGTGAAACAATGAATGCTCCTTGAACACCTCTATGTACTCGAGGTCGAAATAATACACAAACGCGACATAGTGGCCTTTAGAAACAGCTGAGTAACTTAGCCATGGATAAAGTGCAAACCATTCTATACGAAATACTCTCGTAGAGCCGTTGGTAAAATCTTTTTTGAAGTCATATATTTTTGATGGAACCCAGAGGTCCTTCAATAACTTTAAACGTAATTCGTCATCAACGTAGGAATTCAAATACAGTCCAATATCTAATTTATTAGCACCAACAGTCAACTGATGAAGGAGTTGTGGCACTTCTTTTTGTTGGCTACTATTAGAACTATTAGTACTTAAATTACTTAAATTACCTATGTCATGATTGCCTTCATTTATACTTGATGGACTTAATTCTATCTTGCGTTTCTTTTGCAAAAAATTTCGTATGTCAATCATTTTTATATATTAATAATTTTACGTAAGAACTAAAATAATAAGCACGTTGAGATATACACACACGGACACACGACTGTCGACTAATAATGATTCCGATTTTATCGTATAGTGTCGATGGATGTATAGGACATGTCAGTTGTCACGTGTATAATATACACTGTATGTCTGTATATTCAATATATAAATCGGTCATTTTTATCGCATGCGATAAGCTTACGAGTTGTCGATCATTATCGGATTTTCTAATCGCAGCCAATATCCCGCATTACTTTGACATTACTTCTGACGAATAAAACAAAAATAACTTTGTATCGTCCTTTAATTTGAAAAAATATTTCTACGTATTTAACTAAAATTATTTATACATTATTTAAAAATCGGCATATACTATGCACGATGCACCCCCTTGACAAAATTCCTGCCGGCGCCTATGTCTATATACTTTGTATATTGAAGATAATGGGAAATTAAAATACACAATATACTATTATTATGCTATTTACTGTTAAATAGTTGAGTATGTAGAAATTTCAATGGGGAGGTCTAGATCCGAACACCACCCCTTAGGTACGCCCTTATATCAAAATTAACAATGCTCAAAATAATATAAAAAAATTCCAAAAAAAGAAAAATTCAAATGAAATTAGTAGATATATTTTTGTCAAAACTGTTTCTTTTAATTATAAGATTTTTTAAAACCTGACCTATACTTACGAATGTAATTTTTTTAAAACTTGACATATACTTGTATAATAATTTATATTTTTTGTGAAATTTTTAAATGTTTAAAAATGATGATATGTGTTTTTTCAAAACTCTATCGAGACAATATTTGATCTATGCTTGTTTTATACTTTATAAATAGTTTAATAGAATGGACATATTATAATATGAAAATATGTAATATTTTAAAAACTCTAATGTACTCGTAATTGTGCCCATATTCGACTAATATATTATTATTGTCTACTTGTATTAAAATGTATAATAAAAGAATATGTAATAAATTGTACATAGTAACAATTGTACATAGTTTTCAAACGTCTTTTCACAAAAATACATTTTGGCGGAAACGGAAATCATACCTTATTCATTTCTAGCAAAATTGGACTATGCGTTAATCAGGGAACCGGATTTTTGGGGGAAACGGGACATGCTCATATTACAGTCGTTAATCGTCTTTTGAATCCGTTATCTTATCGGACGGTGAAACCCAAAAGCGCAAATGGTCTATTTTTTTCGATGGACCAAAAGCGCAAATTAATTTTGCACTTTTGTACCTTAGTAGTGTGATAAAAGCGTAAAAAGAAATATTGCACCCGTTACACTATAAGTTTCATTTTAAGATTGTTAATAATTACTACAAATCGAAATGAAACATTTTGTCATGTAGATGAAGAATCAAAAATTGTAATTTTCATAACCAAGAGCAATTTTATATACAGTTTATGTTCTACATAAATAAATATATGTTTAAGTGGTGTATTGTATGTTGCCATCCAAAACAACTGATATTTATGCCTAAATGTGGCATTTAATAAAAACCTAACCTAACCTAACGAATTAAAACCTCAAAATATACTTATGGATTTTGAATTATCTGCTCATAATGATTATAAATGTTTATAATTTTGTGTATTTTTCCATATGCACAAATTAAATGTTGCCGGTTTCACCTAGCATAAGCTTGGTACAGACAAATTGAAAAATTGGAACTTAAAATTAAATATGATAAAAATTGATCAAAAATTTCAAATTGGTTAAAGTATTTTATGTTAATAAAATCCGGCAAAAATGCCGGGTCCGGCAAAAAAACCTCCCGTATTTAGAGCTTACGCTGTGTGAGTTGTGGTGTTGGTACAACTATGAAAAGGGTATCGATCGATAGCGGTGTACGTGCCATTTTTAGTAGGCGCAATGGCGTGAACTGGTTAATATCGTGCTTTTGTTGTAAAGGAGTATATCCGTAATGGTGGTTCTGCGATTTCTACTCAGCGAGCATTTCGTATCCGGTTCAAACTTGGCCGACATGATTCTGTTCGGGATAGAAAAACAATGCTCGTTTAGGTGTCCAACTTTAGAGCAACGGGTTCTGCACTGAAGAAAAAAACGCCTGGCCGACCTTTGACCATAACAAAACCGGAAAATGTCGCACGTGTGAGGGCGTCCATCCAGAAATCTCCAAGGCGTTCAGCAGTTAAACATGCAGCTGCCCTGGGACTTTCTAATAGGAGTGTAAGAAGAATCTTATACAGAGATCTTCATATGCACCCATACAAAATGATGATTACACAAGCACTAAGTGAGAGAGATTTTGAAACTCGTAGAGCAGTGTATGAAGACATTCTTCAGAACATTCCCGCTGGTAGTTTTGATTTCGTCTGATGAGGCCCACTTCTACTTGTCTGGTATTGTTAATAAATAAAATTACCGTTACTGGGCAGTAGAAAATCCTCAAGAACTTAATCAACGGCCACTTCACAGCCCATATGTGACAGTTTGGTGTGCAGTATCTGATTTTGGTGTGTTAGGTCCGTATTTTTTTGAAGAAAATGGACTATAAGTAACGGTTAATTCGGACGGTATTGACAGAAGTTATGTTCAAAACAAAGTAATAATTGTATTTAATGTAAAATGGCATATTATGTGTAATTCAAAAATAAAAGAATTTGTTCTGTATCTTTGTTTATTAATTTGCAATTACTTTTTGAAATATGGGAGTTTTTTTGCCGGACCCTGTATTATATTATATAATAATTTATGTGAAAATATTTATTATTTAGTTCTGTTTTATTTAATCATTCTTTTTACTTTTTAGTAATTATTTTTAATGATTTAAGTATAAATTTAAAACTGAGCTGGATTTTGCAGGTCTGCCCATAGCCGTAAACACGCCTATGGGTATACGGTTATTCTTAGTTATTTATATTTTAAAGTTTGACATAAATATATAACTATAATTTTTGATTTACTCAACCACAAAACAATAACAATTTCTCAGAACATTTATAAATAAAATTATATTTATATTTATACATTATATTTCAATGGAATATTTCGAATGATTATTTCGAGACATCCCGTGATTATAAAACTGTCTCGATTACTAATACTTCGATTATTGAAATAATTCGATTATGCCTATCACTAATCACGTATCTCGATTATTAATATTTCGAATGATTATTTCGAGACATCTCTCGATTATAAAAATGTCTCGAATGGTATTTCAATTATTGAAATCATTTGATTATGCCCAGTGGCGCCGAACTACAAAAAATGCAGTATGGCAAATATTAAATTTTTATAGTACCTACCCGCCTACCAATTGATGTAAACGGTAGGGGTTGAAACCCTACCATAATATTGTATTCAAAATTGATATTAAAACATAAACATTATATTTATTTTCATATTATGACATCAATAATTTATGATATAGCCGATATAGGTGTTCACTTTATATATTAAATAATATTTATTTTACGTACGTCCCGTATTATACGGCAATGTCCCGTAATTCATGACAGTGTCCCGGTGTCCCCGTAATAGATCAAATATCGTAAAAATGTCCCGTATTTCCCGTAAAAATAGAATTACCAACCGCAACGTCACGATGTGTCTGGTCTATGCGTTCCAATCACTTATGTAACAAAACGTAAAGTCCGTATAGCTTTTTTATTTTGTTAACTTTTAATCATAATAATAATAATAATAATAATAATAATAATAATAATAATGAATAATAATAATTATTGTTGTTTTACAATCAGGTGTACAATTAATATATATATATAATAATAATACTCGTTGTCGAGTTTACAAATCTTCACACGATATATATTTATATTACGGGGTATTACTCACTATGCCGCGATATTAGCGTTCGTACTAGGAAATTTACAAGAAGGTCAACCGTCCTGACCATAGTATGCTACGCTGTTATAGCAACGTAGCCTATGGTCGCGTCGAATGACTCCTAGTACTTACTAATACACGGGTGAAGAGTGGATGATGATTCGGTATCGCAAACGATGGACGTGGAGGTCTGAGCAGCAACGTTGAATAATGCACTCGACGTACACTGTACGGATGGTGGCTCGTTCAACTCCGACGGCGACGGCTCACACTTTCAGTAGTGACGACTCCTATGCTCTTCGGCAGTAAGGGTGACGATTGAGCTGCTGCCTCTCTCTTCACCAATAAGTCCTATGTCTACACCATTATTTCTATTAATATTAAAATGTATCACGTTCATACTAATCAGTTGTAGGCAATGTAATAGGCATTATTATGCATTTATGCAGTAAACAAATTATTTACCCAGCACCCAGTACCCACCCACCACATAATTCACTATGACAATCGCCATACTTGGATATTGGGTTCGACGCCACTGATTATGCACATCACTCGTGACAAGAACATGAAAACTGCATGGCGTTGGTTCTGCAATGGATGTTGCAAGAAAAACCGATCGGGTCCTACGGTGTTTTCGTGTTGTGTATCTGATCACACTGATCAACATCGGCAGGAGGCACCATCCTTCTTCACGTCTATGTTGATTGTTTTGAATTTTAACGGTTTACGACGTGCCCGACAACAAATGGCACATCGCATTGTACGGGCAGTTGTGCTAGTGCAGTGCTGTACCAAATTTTCAATTATTCTTACGTCCGGCCATTACATGAACATCATTACATAATTCTTCCGCCATACTGTTTGTTCTTTAGCAATCTAGGTCTTTTGAAAACAATTTCAATTTGTATTCTTCCTTGAACAGCATCGGCCATCGTTTTTTCACGTCGAGTACATCGCCTATCTGCAATACTGTACTGTTGTAGTTGAAATTAACGGTAAGTTATAGGTGAAGTCGTTTTTGAGTATCCATACTCCGTCAACGATGATGCGTCGAAAGCTAAGTTTCGTTGGTAGCGACCTTTGCAAGCCAGTTGCGCTTACTGAGTGCTTCGTCGAGTCTGACATACAACGACAAATACGAGACAGATTTGACGAAGAATGCCCTTACGCATTGACCAGAAAGTCAGCAGTGGTCAGAAGTCCGAGAAGGAAGACTACTAATTGTAACTCACAAGTGTGGCAAGTGGCCATCAACACAGTTGCCAAAAAACGCGAGACACTCAGACGCGGCGTCAGCACTGTGTTTAAGTCCATGAACAAGCTTAGGACCGGCTTTAAAATGGCAACTCAGGTATAGTGAAATATATTGTAAAGTTACAACAATATTTATCTGTTGCAAGTTGCTTTTCCGCATTGCTGCTAATCCTTTGAGATTGACCTATACAATTTCTTTCAGAAATTACGGCCGCCTACTAGGCGTCGTTTCAAATTGGACGAGTCACCCTTGACTCCCAATACACCTAAGACCAGGTCTAAATGTCTCCTGGGCAGAACGCCAACTAAACTGTACAGTCCTTTTGCTATTGATACACCACCTTCTATGCGCAGACGATTTGCTTATCGGAGAAATCGTGATATTGACAGTGAAAGGTAAATATACTACTATACTTTGTTTTCACTTTAATACATTTTGTAAATTGTATACATTAGTTAAATCAATTTATTAAATAACCAATATTAAATATATATTCATAGTTTAAAAGTATATTATTATAAGTTTTTATTAAGCTAAACAACTTTTCAAAAAAAGATTAATATCTTACAATATTTAAAACTTTCTTAAAAAATCAATTGAGTTTTATAATGATTCTATCTACTAAAACCCAAATTTGGTTATTTACAGTAATAAATCAGTCAATGGAAAAAGTGAATCTAACAGTTATGAATCAAATAAAGAAAATAATCAACTAAAAATTAATCCAATTATAGAAGTTGAAAATTATGGTAGCTTAATATAAGTATTAAAAAGTAACTGCACTCTATATTATTATTTTTTAAAAAAAATATAGATATAAGAGATATTTATACAAAAGGTATACAAGCTATATTGTTTTTACATAACACATTTTTATTTTATTATACTTTTTTAAATATTTAATTTTGTGTTCCTTTTCTATGTAATTAAAATATTAGGTTATTATTTTTCATTTTTCATAAACATATAATTTATTTGTTACAAATATTAACTAATATAAGTGTTTTCATTTTTGCTAACCAATAAATATTTTGACAAATTGCTTATTTGTTTGATAGAAATGAATATTATTATATCCAATTTAAATTTAATAAAGTTACCAATGACTGCATTAAAAAAATGTTCATTGGCAAGTATAACTAACTTTCTTTTTCAATTCTAAATAAAAATCTCAACATTAGTCCTAAGCGAAATTTGCTCTTGCATCTTAATATTCCTTTGTGGTTTTTTGCCTGAAAAAGAATTTATCTTGTTTACTTCATAATGTGACCAATTTCACTTTTTCTCAGTCTAACAAACTATCTAAAACTGACATAAATCATATTATTTTAAATTTGAATCCTGATGTTTCTGCTTCATTATACCTATTATATAATATTTATCTGTTTAATATTAACAAATATTATTTAAATATAAGTGTATTTTAATAGTGTTTTAGTGTTAATATTTTTCAAATTAATGTTTTAAATATGGAAAAAATAAATTTTATAATTAACTGCATTTCAATTAAATATACTAGTATTTTTGTATATTTCATTATTGTGTAATATTACTTACACAATACTTATTTGAATATCCTTGAATGTTATTTACAATATTTTTGCCTTTTTTTTTCAAGAATGCAATTAATTACATTTTTTAGGAAAAGCTTTATATAACCATAGAGTGTATCGAATAATTGTAATTAAATTATTATAATTTAATATTTGATTGAAATTCCACGGTAAGCTTGAATATCGAGTGAGCAAAAAGGTTGCTGATCAAAGTCTACAGTTATTAAAATTAAGATATATAATGTTATGTTTTACCTTATATAAAGGCAAAAATATAGAAAAATATGCTAATATTTTGAAATAACTTTATAGGAAGGTTTAAATTTGTATCCTGTACAAAACCCTGCGATCTTGATTGAGCGGTAAATATTTGATTAATTATTTTTTTGTTTGATATTAAATTTGAATGATAATGGCTGTAATAGGAACAAAATAAAATGTTGCTGATAAATGATCCCCTCTCCCCTTAGACAAAAAAAATCAGGCAAAGTGGTGACACTCAGAAGTGTTTTAGCGCCACTCTGTGAAAAATAAAATTGGAAAAATGTTAAATAGTATTATCAAAAAATTGGAAGATAAAAAAGGCCTGTTCTTTTATATATAAGGATAAAGATTAGAGAATTATATTTAAAAATATGTATATAAAATCTATATAATAAGAATCATTTGTGAAAATTTTCATTATTTATAATCCAGCTACTACTACTATTTAGCACATGATTAAATTAAGTAAAATCAATTTTTTTCATTCTTAAAACATAAAAATGTTTGTTGATTTAAGGATTTCATTTATAGGGTTAGGAACAGACAAAGTATAAAAAAATAGTGAAACAAGTGACAATAATCTGAAAATAGTGACCAATTATTTTGAAAAATTGGTTAACCAGAATGTCTTGTACTTTTAAAACTTTGAAATAATAATATGACATATAAATAGATACCTAGGTAACATCATATAGTTAATTATTTAATTAATATTTTTATTATATAATAATTAAGTCTTAAAGTAAGTAAAATATAATAAGTAACAAAAAAAAAAAAAAATCATAATCTTCTATTAACTTAATTTGTTTCTGTACTATGAGCATACATTTATAAAGTAAAACATAAATAATATAATATAACAATAGAATAAATTTAAATAACAGAGATCTTTTTATAACACTATAACTGACTTTATAACACTACACTAACCTTTTTTCTAAAATAAACTGAGTAAAATAAATAAAAACATAACTATTGTAAACCTGAATAACACAACAAAAAAACAATTCTTATTATAAAAGTCTTATATTTTCATAAAATTTATTTGGTTCTGTATTTTATCACCTTCTTTCTTTGATTTCTCTTAATCATCTTCAATGGTATAAACTACTGCCAGCATAGAATGAGCTAAGTCAACTTCTTCAAAATTTTTTTTTTCAATTGCCCTTTTTAATATTTCATTAGCTTCAATAAACAATTTTTTAGATTTTCTATCTAATAAATCTTCATTTTTTCTTTTTAATTTTAATTCTAAGTTCAAATTTTCAAATTTTTGTTCTTGTTTTCTCTATTACTCTCAGTGGCCTTTTCTTGAATTTTAATATCTTCTACTTTATTTTTTTTTTTATTTCTTCTTTTTTCATTCTTTCATTGTCTACATAATTTTGATAGCTACGATAAGCGGTTTGACCTAATGCTATAAGTTTATTACTAATCGGAACTAGTTCAGGTTTGTTGTGGTAATACTTTAATGTATCTTTTACAACCAGAACAGCATTAAGAACTCTTTCAGACATTCTACTTTTGTCTTCTGTCAAATAGTTACCTGATTCTTATCTTATCTGATGAAGAAAACTGTCTTTTCACTATTGCATTACCATGTGACACAGATAAAGTAATTATTTTAATTAGTATTAAAAAGTAATTCTTTAATTAATAAAGATAAGCATAAACTAATTTTGATACATAAGATACTTATATTCCCCTGATGATGGTTTTTTATTTTATAAATCATTCCAAAATGTATCAATTCGAAATTCAGCATTATAAATTGGATATTTTTCATATTGTATTAGTTTCCGTTCATCTACCTGTCTATCCACCATAAAATTATTATTTTGATCAAAAGGAAATAAATTAGCACTTTTAATAATATCAGATGAACTTTTAGATTTCCTTTCATCAGGTTTCAAATAACGAAAATATTTAAGGGATCCATAGATGGGTGCTTTCTTGAAAATATGATTGCATGCAGCAACATAATGCTTTTGTACCAATTTATAAAATTCTAAACGTGTACGTTCCTGTAGTCTTTCTAATGCTACATCAACATTAGTTCCAACTGATATTTGATTTAATGGTAAAAGATTTTCCTGGTTTAAAACAGTTTCAGTTATATTTTTGTCATTTCCAAGTAATTCTGGCTTACATATTCGTCCAAGTAAAGTTAAGAGTAATGTTGTTATTTCATCAAAAATTATATGTATTAAAGGTTTATCTTTTTGAAATGTACCAGTAAATCTAGTAAATACTAGAACACACAAATAAAAGTTCGGCTCTCACTGTTGGTTCTTTCAATATATTTACAATTCTTTTAAAACTTGCAGATTTCGAAAGTAAATTTTTATGCTGCGGAACAAATTTAAAAAAAATAGTATTCTAATGCATCCCATTGTTGCAAAAGACGTTCAGCTGCATTTTCTATTGTCAACCATCTAACAGATGAATGTTTAATAAAATACAACTGTGGTATATTTAATTTTTTCTGAGCATTTTTAAAATCTTCACATCTTGAAGGCCACCCATAAAAATATTAATGAACTAAAACTATCAAATTAGAAACATCTTCACCAAGTAAAGAGAGACTTTTACAAAATGCATTGTGTAAAAGGTGTATGTTGCAATATCCAATGTCAATAAGTTTTTTTTTTACGAACAATAGTTAATTCTCCATTCATTAGACGCATTACCTTCTTATTAGTATTTGGTCCATCACTGCCTAACATAACAAGATGAGAAAGAGACAAACCTGCATCATCTATAGCAATTTTAATTTTTATAAATAAAATATCACCAGTTGCTGAACCAATAAAAAAACTTCGTAGATGATGACTGACAATTTGACTTTGACTCGGAGACCGATATCGAACAGTTGTTTGAAGTTCTTTAGTTCCAGCATTATTTGTTGTTTCATCGTACAATAGTGAATAATATTGACCATTCATATCATTTAAATGTTGTTCTTGAAAAAATGGAAATAAAGCATCAGATACTAAATATCTGTAATAAAATATAAATAACAGACATTTTTAGAAATATTAGCATAATTACCGAGGTAGTTAAAAGAATACATTTTTCATTTAGAATTTTTCATACCTGAACTTTTTAGGACATATAGAAAATTTAGTTGGTACGGCATCAGAAAACATACTCTTGAACAAATCAGCTATTCCCAGGCAAGAATTAGCAGAGAAATTACAGCTTATCATTTTCATACACCACATCAATTCAGCTTTGATGGCTGAATCTCGTAGACAGTATATTTTTATATCTGAATTCTGTTTGTTAGATACTGTTGAATCAGAACTACTTTTAGTCAGTCTTGGTTGTAGAGTACTTAATTTGATTTTACACATTTCCATGTAATTTTTAGTCTTGGAATGTTTAGTAAGAGCTTGAAAACCTTTGGAAACATTAATTGTAGTCATACAGACTTTACAATATGCTCCATTTTCATGTTTAATAGCCCATTCTGATATTTGATGGCCACTTTCATCAGTTTTAAGTAACCATGATTTTTTAAATGAACACTTTCCCATTTTTAGGTATGAAATAACAATAAATATATAATAACAATTAATAAAATAACAAATATAGGCGAATTACCCAACAAAATAACAAACAAATAATAAAAATAGACTAGAAAATAATAAAATATAAAATAAATATAAAAATAATAATAATATATTATAAAAAATATAAATGAAAAATAATGATAAGAAACATTTTCAAATTTCAACTTCCATTTCACTATCACCAGTAAATATTACAAATATTACAATGGTACCAACTTCCTTAACAAAGATTAATTCATTCAAATAATCAGTTTTCACCAATTCTAATAATTTTATCATACATATTATGTTAGCAAGTTAGTAGCAGCTGTTAATAGGTAATACCCACGATAAAATGATTTTGTGTATTATAAAAATTGTTATAACAACCATGGACTCAGTATACCTATATGATGTATCTTTACAACTCAAATATGTTATTATAAATATTAGATAATCCAAGTATAAAAAAAATAAATATACATATAGACCAAAAAATGTATGCACGATCTAATGAAATAATTTTAAAATGTGACTTTAGTTGTTTTAATATATAAATAGTTACTTTTAGTAACGTGACTAAAAATAAGTGACTTTAAGTTGAAAAAGTGACTTGTTCCTAACCCTGCATTTAGAGAAAGCAAAAACTACGCACTGGCAAAGCCGTGTAATTCTAATCCGTGTAATCTAACTATATTAATACATATGTATAATATACTTCATTAAGCACTGAAAAATAAAACTTAATATTAAACATTTTTTGAAGCTTCACAAAAAAAGGATGCACAGCTGAAAAATGTTGTGAATTGCTGGCATATAAATATGCATTTATAAATTATAGATAATAGTTTTGACTTATATTTTAAATTATATACAACTATTCTTTTTTAATAATTTAGTTTATTATTATTGTTTTTTCTTTTTATACAAACTAGAATTTATTTGGTCTATTGGCCATGTAGTATACACATAAATACTACATAGGTTTATTATATACTGTGGACATTATATGATACAAATTAGTTAGTCGATTTACAGCTTTTTGAATGTGCCATTCATATTCAATTTATTGATTTTTGTATACTTGGGTAGTCTTGAAAAGTCAGTATTTGGACGACTTTCCAACCTTTTTTTTTTCTTTGTTAGTCATCAAAAATTCTAACACATCGTCTGCAAAAACCAAAATATAATAAAGTAAAAACTGAAATGGATAATGCAATACCCAATTAGGATTCAAATCTTAACATTTAACTATATACCAACTATATCACAGAACCCACTACCAAATCAATATTCACCTCAATAAACAATTAATATAAAGGTTAGGTTATAAATATTATACAGTTTGGTTTTTTTGCCTGGTATTATTTATCTAAGATTAGTATTATTATTATTTTTTTTTATAAATTATTAAGTAAATATGACCGAAAATATAAATATAATTTGAGTAGGGGAATGTCCTTAAAATGAGTAGTCGTCTTTCGGATACTAAAATATCTTTCTACGAAATCTATGTACTGATGAAATATTAGGACCAATATTTTCAAAGTAATTTGTATACTATCTTTGATAAAGTTCAGAAACATTTTTTTGTAAACTTAGGTCATATGATATAAATATATAGTAGTATGATCAAGGCTGTGAACTATCATAGTGATAATAATTTTGTTGTTATAAAAATTGATTTTTTTAGATATAATCTCCGAAATCATTCTTCGTTTACTAAGTCTTGTTATATGTTATTATTTAAATTTCTCCTGCATGATATGAACTCAAAAATATTTACAAACTGAAGTTTCAATTATTTTGACTATTTTATGTATACTTTGTGTCATAGTTTATCTATCAATAAGTAAATAATATGTATTATTTTTAGTAGGTACACCTAATTAAATAAATTATTATCAGTTTTATAAAAATAAAAGGCTTGAAAACCATAAGTCTGGTAGTTTTTATATTAATTTATACAATTAACTGTTGGTTATTTTAATATAGGTATTTAATTAAGTAGTTAAAATAGTAGTAGTTTAAAATATTCATAAAAGTGTGTTATGATTTATCAATAAATAATATTCATTTTTACTTATATTTGTAAGTATAGGTCGTTATTATTTTAAAGTATTAATGAAACAACATTTTTGAAATTATAATTCACTGTGTACCTAGTTAATAAAATAATTGCTTATTCCACATTTAGTTCTATAAAAAATATATAAATAAATAAATTAACTATATTATATTTTTTGGTGCTTTATTTCATATTTAGTGATATCTTAATGCTGATCATTTAGAATTAGTGTTACCATCTATCTTATATTACGAACTTAAATTAAAAATATACTTCTAAAAACTTGAAAAAAAATGTAAGTACTAGTAATTATTCATACAAATAAACGTAAGAAAATTTAAAATGAAGATAAAAATGTATTTCTCTAGATATATGTTGTGTCGTTGCATTAATATAAATGCAATGATCAAACGTTAATCAGTATAATTACAATTTATAGACATGAATTATAATAACTTGTTTATTGTATAAACGGCATAAGTAAACTGAATGTCGTGCGAGGCACACACGTCGTGTATGGTAGGACAATCCCCCACCGTTTATATATATAAACATTATTTAATACGTAACACCTATAAAAATATTTTGATAATTGATATTATACAATTCTGAATGTTTCAATTTATAATTGAAATTTACAATGTATCCTAATAATTATATAATCATAATAATGTTACCTAATATATTATATATATTTCATAATAAGGAATAAACATTAAATAATTAATTATAATTATTATTTTTATCTGCAAATGCGTTAACTTATTCATTATTTATAATTGGAAGGAGAATAACGTTGAGGGAGCTTTCTAATCCTGGATGGTCTAGTTGTTTGTGTATCAATCGATGCAATATTATGTGTTTGTTCAGATCAGATTAAGTGGAATCATTATTGGGTAAATTTATTATGTTGGTTACAGGGGACAGTGGGTTATTTATTTGGTTGTGTGGCCATATCTGATCAGTGTGTCTTATCCATTCTGAACCCTCGTCTAGTGTGACTTTATGAGTGTTTTGACTAATATTTTCTGTTATTTTTCCTTTTTGCCAATTTTCAATTTTATTTCGATAATCCTTAACTAATACAACTAATACCATATCACCCTCTTTTACATTAATATTTCTTTTTCCAGAATTTTTTATTCGTGTAATTTGGTTATTAATAACTACTTCATTCGTATTTGGGATTAATAAATCAAAAATAGTACTTGTTGAGCGGCCAAACATAAGTTTTGCTGGCGTTTCATTTGTAGCTGAGTGTACAGTATTTCTATAAATCAATAAAAATTTATTCAAATGGTGTAATGATGTTGAACATTTATTAAAAAATTGCTTAACTATTTTTACTCTTGACTCGACAAATCCATTTGAGGCCGGGTGGAAAGGTGCTCCTGTCAAATGTCTGATACCTAGTGTTTTGCAATATGATTGGAATTCAAAGCCATTAAAACATTTTACATTGTCAGTTTTTATTGTTCTGGGAATGCCGAAACATGCAATTAACTCTGACAATTTTTTTATGACTGTTTGTGCTGTCATCGAACTCACTTGAAAAACTTCTAACCACTTTGTGGTTGCATCGACAATAATTAAGAATGTTTTGTTTTTGTATGAACCTAAGAAATCGCAATGCACTCTCGTCCATTGTCTTAGTGGCCATTTCCACGGAGTTAGTACTGACTTAGGAGGATTAGGTTTCGTATTTATGCATTCATTACAGTTTCAGGCCATATCCTCAATTTCTTTATCTATATTAGGCCACCAGATATACGATCGCGCTATGCTTTTCATACTTGACATGTCAATATGAAAAGAATGCAGTTCAGTTAGAATTGACTTACGAAATTTGGTTGGTATGATTACTCTATAGCCCCAAAATAAACAATCTTGTTCAGCTGTAATTTCTATTTTGAGTGTATTATACGAGTTTAATTCGGAATTTATTGAAAAATCATTACTCCATGAACCTGTTTTTATGGCGAGTAATACTCTAGAGGTAATTGGATCTCTTTTCGTTTCAATTTTAATTTTGTGCCAATCTATCGGAAATGGTGACTGTTCGTGAATAAAATTAATGTGAGCGTTATCATATTCATTAATATTATTGTTACATTGGTGTGTTTTAATGCGTGATAAAAAAATCGGCAGTATTTCCTTCTGATTTAATATACTTAATTTCAAAATCAAATGAAGAAAGAACGTATGCCCACCGTTGTAAGCGATTTGCCGCATAAACTGATATTTCTTTTTTTTTCTCTAAATATGTAGATTAACGGTTTGTGATCAATGACTAATGTAAATTTTCTATCGTATAAATAACCGTAAAATTGTTGAACGCCAAAAATTATAGTTAGACCTTTTTTTTTTGATTTGTGAAAATTTGCATTCACTGTCTGATAATACTCGTGATCCATATGCAATTGGTCTTTCTGAGTGGTCAGGCTAAGTGTGCGATATAATTGCACCTAGTGCGTATGACGAAGAATCGACCGTGAGTTTTATGGGAAGTTTTCGGTCATAATGTGCTAACACAGGACTTGAGATAATTTTTTATGTTATTATATGCTTGATCACATTCTGGTGACCATAGCCATTTTTTTCTTGTTTCAATAATGAGTATAACGGTTTAAGAATGTCCGCTGCTCTTGGAACAAATTTAATATAATATGTTACTAAACCTAAAAATGATTTTAACATATTTTAACATTTATTTTCTGGAATTAAGGCAGATTGTATTGTATTTATGTGTTTAGTTAAAGTGTGCAAACCATGCTCATCAATTTTATGGCCTAAATATTCAATTGAATTTTTGAAAAAACAACATTTGTTTTGTTTAACCCTTAAACCAACTTCGGATAAAACGTTAAGTAATTTTTTTAATCTATTGTTGTGTTGTGCTACCGTTTTTCCCACAACTATTATGTCATCTTGAAATATACCGATTCCTTCTAAGCCTGTGGTTGATATTTCCATAGCTGGGAATTCCCCAGCTGAGCTTTTTATTCCGAATCGATTTCGAGTATAACTGAATAGGCCTTTGTGAGTATTTATTGTGGTGCATTTGCGATCATTTTCTTTAATTACCATTTGTTGATATGCATCTTTAAGATCTATTTTTGAGAAATATTTTGAGCCATTTATATTCGCATATAGATGTTCTATTTTTGGTAAGGGATATTCAGTTCCTTCTAATACGGGGTTGATTGTAATTTTGAAACCTCCACAAATTCTAACTGTACCGTCGGGTTTAAGAATTGGAACAATTGGACATTCGCTGTAGTTCACGGGAGTTAAAATATTCTTATCTATTAAACGATCAATTTCTGACGCTACCTTAGATTTTAGTGCTGAAGGGATTGACCTTGGCTTGAGAAACTTGGGTATAGTCCCCTTTTTAATGTTTAGCGATATTTGGTATTTATTAAAGGTGCCAATTTCATCTTTGAATAAATGCTCGAAATTTTTTAATATGTTCTCTAAATTTTCGTCTACATTTACAGTGTTATAAATGGGATAATAGTTTATTGTTTTTAAATCATTTCTACCAATTAATGGCGGTCCTCCGTATTTTATTACGTAAATACACATTTTAAAAGACTTTTTCAAATATTTAGCATTTACTATTATTTTTCCTGTTGGGCTTATATCATTTCCGACGTAATCACGTAGTGAAATATCGTTTGGTAATAAAGTTATATTATTAAAACTTGTATCATATAATTGTTTTGAAATTACACTATGTACAGCTCCAGTGTCTATTTAAAATTTTAAATCTTTTTTTTCAATTGATAGATTGATAATATGTGGTTTTACTTTATTTTGAAAGTTATTTTCAATCATATTAAAAAAAGTGTCAGATAAATTGTACGTGATTGCGTCATCATGAATATTTTCATTCGAGCTATCAGCTGAATTTTCTGTTAAAAGTTTATTATGTGAGCGGTTACCGTACTTTGGTTTATTATTCTTACTTTTACACATAGGAGCCAAATGACCTTTGATGTTGCAAATATTACAGCTGTAGTCCTTGTATCGGCATTCCTTTTGTGTGTGGTTTGATCGACCACATGTTCCACATTTTGATTTTTCCGTGGTTGACTGCTTGGCTGATTTTGCTTGGTAACTAGTTGAAAGTTTCAACTCCCTCAAATCTCATATTATTTATAGTATATATACTATATATACTCAACTATTACCATAGTTACTTTTATTATTTTATTGGCAAATAGTTCAAATAAGGTCCTTAACACCAAAGTTATAAAAATACAAAATTACTACTCTCCAGTTTAGTACCACAATAATTATTTACTGATACTCATTTCAAAACAGTATAAATAATAATACTGATTAAATACTTTATCTTCTAGTTCCACCACAATAAAAACAAAAATAAAATTTTGTTAGAAATATGTTTTAGTGAAAAATTATATATATATATATATGTGTGTGTGTGTACATGAATCAATACATAAGGTAAGTTACTTGTCTTCAAATTTTTCAATGCTTCCACTGGCACCACCATACATGCCAGGCAAAACATTTTTCGGGATATATTGGTACAGTTCTTCTAATGAATCATGGATGAAAATCTATAAAACGTGTTGGACATTAACAATGACATAATTCAAAAGTGGTGTAGGTATGTTACTCCTTGCAATGAAAAAAAAAAAAAAAAAAGAAAAGGAGTGAATATGGGTGTACGAAATAAATGAAAAAAAGAGAAGAGTTTGGTAGTTTCATCCCCTCTGCGTAATGACTCGTATCAATATAATCATATAGTCTTAAGAGTACTTAAGTACTTAAGAATCGTTCAACAACAGATACTATTGAGAGGTGATAAAATATTTTTTATACAAAGTATATTTACTATTCAACATTTTAATAAGTGTTTGATTAAGGTAGGAGTAAAAGCTAGAAATTGAGATAGTTGGACGTATCGTAGGTCGTAAAGGACAATGTTGCCATAGACTGGTGCTTCCTTCAGCTGCAAATCCAGAAAGGCGATGGAAATTTGACAAAACAATACGATATCGAATTTTTCGTCATCCATCGTCGAGTTAATGTTGGTACAATAAACTCTGTTACCCTCTAGTGACAATTTTGGAGTTTTAGAGCTCACCGCTCTAAAATACACGCATAAAACACAAATGGGTAATTAATATTGTATATATGAGTCGTCCAGTTGCAAAAGGTAGTATGTCCAAACAAATAAAGTTTTCACAAACAGCAAAAAACTGATATTTCCATTAATATTTTATAAAACGTCACCATTTTTTTTCATAAATATATGTAAAAAAAAACATTTTACTTTTTTTAGACTATAGAAATCGTGGATAAGTAGTTTTTTAAATAATTTATATTTAAAATTGGACATATTCCCTTTTGCAACTAAAATATGGACATACTACCTTTGGAACTGGACGACTCATATATAACATGAGTATAATGCACACATCCAGAGCCAGATTAATGAAATTAGTGGCCCTGGGCTAATTTATTTTCGGGGCCCTAATTTTACAAAAAAAGTATTTTTATAATAATATGCCAATTGATATTTATTAGTTAAATAAGAAAAATATTTTTTCTCAGACAGCAAATTTACATTACACAGTTAATTTATTAAAAAATACAATTTAGTTAAATTTTAAAATATAAAATATATGGTAATAACACAAAAATACAAGCAAGTGATTATTTAAAATATTTTTTTCTAGATTTACTTCATGCAAAAATATCTAAAACGTCATCAAATAAAAGTTTTTTACATATGTCATTTTCAATTGACATAATTGTTAATGCGTTCAACCTATCTTCAATGTGTAGATCTTAGTTGATTTTTAATTAGAGCCAACTTTGAGAATAAATGTTCTATTTCACAATTTGTCAACAGTATTGTCAGGTATAATCTCAGTGCAATATATACATTTGAAAAAACAATAAGTTGTCATTCATATAGAAGTTTTGCTATAGCAACACAATTGTCAATATCTGAAGAAACTGTTTTGATATAATGATAAAAATGTGATATTTAAGTTTTCAAGTTATCATTGAGATCATTATGGTAAAACAGAATATAGTTATTTAATGAATCAATGTTTGGATCATTGTTAGTTTTAAAGTTAACTAAAAATTTGAATTGAGAAAGAAAAAGATTATAAGAATTTAATATTCGGTCAAGTTCAGAAATCAATTTATCTATAATAACAAAGAAAGTATCAACTTCAAAAGTTTTTTTGAAAGCAATAAAATAAAACTAAATAACACAGTATATTGCTTGTTGTGTATGTACCTATCTAATTCAATAACATGCAAGTTGTCACAGACAATTATTTTAAATGATTAATATGATTGTATCTTTAAATATTGTTAAAATCATATTTTTCTAATTATAAATCTATAACTGTATAAAAGCTGCAAGTCCATATTATTTTTTTGGGGGCCCTGGGCTATAGCCCGATTAGCCCCCCCCCTTAATCCGGCTCTGCACATATTAACGATCAGGTTGTATTCATGTTACAAGTTATCCTTAGACAATTTCGTAGAATAAGTAGATTGTATTAAGTACTTATATCAGTGATTTTCAACCTTTTTCACAATGCGGCACACTCCATCTCCTACAAAATTTTCGCGGCACACCAATCCATATAATTATAAAACGTGAAGCATATTTTATTTATAAAATATATATCCATTTAATATATACATGAATAGGTACACTGTTTACGATATACTTTATGAGAGGGTTAATTATTGTGAAATAAATAAACAAATGAAAAAATAAACGATGAAAAAATGTGTAAGCAGAAATATTTATTTTTTAAGATAATATTGTTGTACAATGAAATAAGAATACATCGATTAATGAGATATTTGTGCTTGACGTGTGTTGCACAAGTGTTTTATTCGAGGACGAACAGTCGACAAGCTCACTCTCAGTTCTTCTTCTACGGATCGAAGTCGTTCTCTTTTTTTACTTTTTATTGTTGTGACTGCTGAGAATCCTTGTTCGCATACATACGATGTGGAAAATGGTAGTAAAATTGTTATTGCTTTTAAAGATATTTCAGGAAATTCTGCTTGAGCATAGATCCAAAATTTGTTAAGGGTCATTTCCTTAAATTTTAACTTCAATGTACGATCATTTTTCAAAGAGATAAGATTATCTTCTTCGGCAAATGTCAAACCAATCACCTCATTAACTGATACACTGAATGGATTCCACACCCAGTCATGGTCTTCAACATTTATGCTGGGAAAGTATTTTGTCAATTTGTCTTTCAGTAACATGATAGATTCGCTTATTAACGATACTAGGTTGGCGTCAACATCTCACTCTGCAGTTCGTGGGAACATTGTCAATTTTTTTTGGTTAACTTGAGTTTTCCACAGAGTTAATTTTTCATTAAAAGCAATAATTTTATCAGTTGATGTTAGGATATTTTCGTTACAACCTTGCATGCTTGTATTTAATTTATTCAAAAGTTCAAAAATATCAGTTAAAAAAGAAACTTTTGCCCGCCACTTTTCATCTCCAAGAAATTCGTATTACGATTCTTCTATTGTTAAAAATACAATTATTTCTTCACTCAAATCATAAAAACGTGATAATACTCGGCCTCTTGATAACCATCTTATTGCACTGTGAAAAAGTAACTTTGAGTTATCTGAATCCATACCTTTACACATTTTTTCGAACAACCTTGACTTTAGTGAACTACTTTTAATATGATTTATCACTTTCACAACTTGATCCAAAACTTCCCTTAAATCACCTACCAATGTTTTTGTCATAAGGACTTCTCTATGTAGAAAACAATAGGTGAAAATTATATTTTCATTTTTTTTCTTGGCAAAAGAAGTAAAATCTTTGACTGAGCCAGTCATCGCGGGAGTTCCGTCGGTACATACTCCAATGCATTTATCTCATGGTAAATTTGCAAATTTCAGATAATTGTCGACGATTTCGAAAATGTCTTCACCTTTAGTTGTCTCAGGAAGTGTTTTACAACACAAAAAATTTTCCACTATGTCTTCGTCGGAAACTATACGTATAAATACCAAAAGTTGTGCTTGTCGACTTATATCAGTTGACTCGTCCAGTTGTAATGCAAATAATGGAGAGTCACGGGATTGTAGCAATACTTGTTCTTCAATATCTTCAGACATGTGTTCAATACGCCTACTAATGGTGTTGTCAGATATTGGAATTTTTAATACTTCTTTTTCAGCTTCTTCACCAAAAAGTACTTTTACGATTTCACGACAAGCAGGTAAAATAAGTTTTTCTGCTATAGTGTGTGGTTTCATTTGTTTAGCTACAAGTTCTGCTACTAGATAACTAGCTTCTTGAGTTTTATCAGAAATGGTCACAATTTTTGTCATTTTTTCAGATTGTCGTGTTTCTGATTTTAGTAAACGTTAAAAATATGAAGCATTTTTGTCGACCAAATGAGAATGCTTGGTGGAAAAATGACGTTTTAGTTTACTTGGAACCATTGATTCATTGGATAGTTTTTCGCCACATACTACACACCATGGACGTGGATCATCTACATTACCAGACCAAGAAAATCCTATGTTTAAATAATCTTCATGATATAAACGTCTGATATTTAATTTAGATTTTTTCTTTGGTTGTTCATTCACCGAAGTGGTGCCAGTAGAATGAATTACAAATTTATCCATTATAAAATGAAATATTCCGCGACGCGACGTAAACCAATCGAAACGACTGCGACGGGCATACTAATATTAAATATTATTACACGTATCTACGATTAATGATTTAGCCCGTCTTGTTACTTATCAGCAGAGCTCAGAACTTTATGCGCTAAAAAACCATGAAATATGTGCATACGTATGCACTAAAAAAAACCAAAATATGCGGTATAATATGCATTTATTATTTTATAAAAGATGTATTTAAAAACATAATTAATAATTATAGAAACAAATTTTTTTTTTATTTTATTTGTATTTTTCTTTTGATAATGAAGCTGTTCTATACTGGATCTATTCCCAGAGTCCTAAATTTAAAAAAAATAAAATTCATCAAATACAGCGATTATTAAATCATGTTAGATATTCATTGTTATATTTACCTGAATTACACTGAATGATAAGATGCATTTTTATGTTTTCAAGTTTAAATGATCGTCTGTTGTGGCTCAGAAGGTTTTTGTAAACAGAAAATGATCTTTCGACATCCACTGACGTAATTGGTGCGTACTTGTAGAAAATAAGTTCATTTGTTGACAGATCTTCGGGAAGACCATCCATGGTGGAGATAGATCTACTAAGTATTGACGAGATTTGTTTTAATATTTTTAATCCGATATTTTTAGACAAAACATTTTCCATTTTTTCATAGACTTTTTTCCCTGGTTCACCTTGAACGGATTTTAATTGTGTTTGAACATTGTCCACGATACTCAACGATTCAGCTAAAGGCATGTTTTTTGTCTGCAGTTTCAAAATTGATTCAGAAAGAACTTTAAAATTTGAAGTAATATACACCAAATTATTTTGAACATGTTCTTTTACCAAATTTTTTTTTGTAACTTTAATACTTAAAGCATCATTGGAGTCCAACATATTTACAACATCACGAATTTTTTCTTAATATTTACAATAATAAAGTACAGCATTGATTCAAGTACCCCATCAGGTTATAATTGGTTCTGGAGGTAAAGGGATATCCGGTGCGTAATTTTTTAAAATTTGTATGCGTGATAGTGCTTTTTTAAATATTTTTTTTACATTAGCTACAATTTTATCAACAGTACCAAATTGATTTTGTACTTCCTTCGAAACTCTATGGAGGCCATGAGCAGCACAAGTCACATGTACCATTTTAGAGTAGAGTGCATTCAGAGATTTTCCACACTTTACCATATACGGCGCAGCGTCGGACAAAAATAATAAAACGTTGTCGTGTCTTATCCCATCAGGCCATAAAATGCTTAAAGATTTGTCAAAAAGTTTAGAAACTGTAGAGTGATTGGTCTTTTCTAGTGCTTCAGTATTCAGTAAAAAAATTGGACCAGCAGTATCCTCTTCTAAAGACCCTATTATTACATTAGCTATATACCGACCTTCTGCGTCTGTTGTTTCATCAAGTGACACCCAAATTTTTCGGTCGAAAACACGTTGCCTAATTTTTTCCATCATTTCGTTATAGCAGTCGTCTAAATAGAATTTTCGAAGTACTGATTCTGTGGGGACATCTTTTCTAGAATAAACTTCCAAAAATGTCCGAAACTCTATATTTGATAGTTTATTTAGTGGTATATTAGCCGAGACCATAGCTTTGCATAAATCCAGGTTGAACTTCGATTTTTTAGACGGTAAATCATTGGTTAATAGTTGTTGGCACTTGGTCTCTTGTTGATTTTCTTTACGTTTAACAGAACGCAAATGTTTTTCTGTTTTCAAGTGCTGTATTACGCTGGATCTTCTTTCCGAATCGACTTTCGTTTCGCAATATTTGCAAAATAATACCCTAGTGTCAATACTAAAAATATTTTTACCGAACTCAGACACGAAAGTATTTAACCGACTACTTAAATTATTTTTTTTTTAGGCATTTTAATTTTTGTCTAACAAATATTAAAATCAGAATATTACGTGGTACATAAGCGATAATCGAGCACGGTAAGCAAACAATACGAACTACGAACACACTAATTTATTAAAGTAACAGACCACCGTTATCGAATATGTTTTCGACACACGATCAAACACATACTAACACACACCACGAATATACAACGATTTTATCGATTTTATCTAACGAGCGACTTCAATATAAATAAAACCTGGGCGGTCATTACGGTAAAGGTGGGAACAGACTATTGTCACGTCACGTGAACTCACGTGCTGTCAGGGGCGGATTGACCTATCGGGAAATCGGGAATCTTACCGATGGGCCGGTCCTTGTTTGGGCCACTCTATATTATTATATAATTACCGAAAAAAAGTTTTATTTTATAAAATAAATAAAAATAAATATATATTTAAAGATGCATTTAGATCAAACTTCAAGTTCAAGTTGGAACTGATTAATCATGTGACTTATTCAAAAATATTATAGCTATAATTATAGTAAAGTTACTGTAGATTTTACTAATTTAGGGGTGAAACTAAACAAATTTTGAAATTGATGCAAAATAAAGCATTTTTTTATGAGGGGGGAGGGGTAAAATAGTTTAATTTGTGGTTCATGGGTCGGTTTGTTTCATATTTCCTGGGCCGAAAATAATTGTCGATCCACCCCTGCATGCTATCATGTTGGCACATTAAATCCGTAATATCACGCTTAGAAATAAACTATAGTCACATTATATCATGTCACAATTTAGTACTTAGTCACTGTGTTTTGGTGTAAGGTGTGTACTTAAGGTCTGTTACACAAGTTTTTTTTTTCTTAAGTAAAATTAAAATGGAAATAGTAACTTCAAGTAGTTCAGAGTGGAAAGAGGAATTAGAAACTCCAGCTGTTTTTGCAGTTTTGGACGAACAAAATAAAAAATCCACCCGACCGTGCTGGGTACATGATATTTATAAAAAAAGGTCAACATTGGAAGAACTCTATCGTCTAGTTCAAGAACTTTGAAACGATCCAAAACGATTTCATATGTATTTCTGAATGACGATAGAAAAATTTGATTATTTACACGACATTATTAAAAATATATATTTTTCTAAATAGACCAAAATCGTGATGACACTTGAGTCGAAAATGTGTGTGATGTTGACACGCATGAGGTGACATTAGTGTGGCGCTGATACATTAAAATACTGT